AATTCTCACCGACTGAGAGCAAATTCCTCAGTCTAGCTCCAGGTCCCATTTCCAGTCTGACCTCTAATCTTTCATTTTTGATCCTCTGGCCCCCTGAGCTACTGCTAGGCTTTAGGGGGTTTGTATTGCAATGCTCTGACACCCCTTCCTAGAAATCTACATTTATTGCTTTTATATTTGATCAGATTTTTCTCCTGGGAGTGCTCTTTTTTCATTATCAAATCTGAACTATTACCACCTTCATTTTTCTCGTTAAGATTTTTACTTCTTAAAATGTATCATGTCACTATATATTAAATGGCTACTGATTTTAATGTTGTATCTGTCCCCTCTACAAGTTTGTCTACAACACTAGGGTGGACTCTTCATTTTTTGTTTATTTAATTAGTTTTTTAATTGTATAATTTCACAGTTTTTAACTGTTTAATTTTTCACCATATGCAACCTTTAGAACATTACTTATTACATTATAAACACTGGAAAATGTTTATCAGATATAATTGAACTAGATTGATCAATGGTTACTGCAAATTTAAAATAAGATAAAAATCAATAACCAAAAAAGTTAAATGTAGATCGTAAATTGGATACAGTGTGACTCACAAATCTGTTGACTACTTTTAGCTAAACTGAAGGTTCGCCTCAGAACCAGTATTTGGCATTAGAAAGCAGCTACTTTGCAAACATGTGCCGTTTACTTCATAGGAATTTCTCTTTTTGAGTATGACAGATGAAAAAAGTTTTATTCATGGTTCTGCTGGTAAGAGGAAAAGTAACAACCACACAGGCACAGAACTAGAGGCAACCAGAACTATTTTTGCCACAAATAGTTGGATTTTTGTTTTCAAAGCTATAATTATATAATGATTATTAAAATATTCTCAGGCTAAAATATAGCTCAGCAGTACAGCAAAAGGTCCTAAATTTGATTCCTGATACCAAAGGAGGAAAAAAATACTCTCAGAAAATTAACAGTGATTCAAAAGCTAAACTTCACTGGTCTTCAAACTCTTCCATCAAAAAGCAGCATTTAAGAATGTCTTTCCTAGAAATAAAAACATTATTTTTGGGCCAGTGAATTAAAGCGCCTTCTTAGGCAGACGCAGAGGCCAGGAGTTCGAACCCCAGGTCTGCTGTGTCGGCCCCGCCCCCCCGAGACTGTGATTGAGACTGGCTGAGGTGACACATGCCGGTAATCTCAGCACTTTGGGAGTCTGTAAGCAGGAGGATCACTATGAGTCCAATCTATGCAGTGAGACCCTGTAACCCTGTCCTAAATAAAAAAATTGCAACTATTTATACTTAGAGATTATCTTGAAACATATTTGATAATAGAGAAATGTTGAATATTATACTCGTCTTAAATACAATTTAAAAATTCTAAACAAGTTAGATAAAATTATTGTTATACAAAGGAATTTCTTTCAACAATAAAAAATTTAAAAAATAGTGGTATATTTCATAATAATTGTCATTTAAAAATTTTTAATTATTGCAGAAACAAATTAATATCTAATATTTTATATTCTTTCTTTGGTTAGAAATTAGTGATTTTATATCCACTTTAGAAATTCTATTTGAGAATCTTTGGGATTCCTATGAATTAAAAATACTAAAGACATAAAACTTAGATGAAAAAGAAATATTTTAATATCTTATCCAATATACAATAATATTTTTTCAGTTTTTAATAAAAATAAAATATATCAATTATTTTTCACTTAATACTAATAATCTGTGTTTAGTTTAGATCATTAAATTCCTATGTTTCTGAGTTTTAGGCTTTTACTTATACAATATGAATATAATCAATATAAAATGTGTTGCTACAATTTATTTGTAAGATATGAGCCTTTTGCTTTTACTTTAGTTCTGTATCTTCATACACTTCCTCATACCTTTACTCTGAGCACTGACGCGAACATTCTTGCATCCTCCGACACACCTCCGATGTAGAATTTCTTTTGAAACACTGGTGGGTGATCATTTGCATCCTGAACTTCAATGTATACTTTAGCTGTATTACCTGGAAGACAAAATGATGCATTTTTATTGGTTATTTCCCTCCACAGAAAAATGCCTTGTGGCGAATACGCACGATACTCTGGAAAAAGAAATGGGAATAAATGGAAAGTCCTTTCTACAATAGGATGTCTAATAACCTTGAATCCAGAAGACAGTGACAATGCCTCATCTGGTATAGCAGCGTTATCCTGCCGTGATTTCCTTTAATGTCCTGATAATTCATTTTATTTTGGTAGATAGGAACAAAGGTGTCGTGCACTACCTATTTAAATAAAATAACCAAATTCTTCATGTGCAAAACACTTCATTTATATTACCAACTACACTAAAGTGATACAAATACATAAACTCTTGGTAGCATGATAGAAACTACCACAAATTAAATATAT